AAGTGTAAAGGGAGGTGGTTTCTCAGTAATAAATGTGTTACCTTCTGCTATATATGAAACATAGGGCATAAAACCTTGATTAAACGTACACACTATCTAACATGGGAAGGGTCCTTGTTGTTGTTGTTAGTGTCTTGGCAAATTGACCAAGGCTTAACCCTTATTATCCAGTCTGGTGTCCTTGTCCTTAGCAAAACTATAAGTTACTATCTTTTATTGGGGGGAGGGGGTCATGTTCGACTTCACTGGGATTATTTGGGCATTCAGAAATTGCATTGCATAGACCACATCAACTCTCACTTCAGAGATATAGCCATCATCATTTTCTATGGGAGAGCAGATGGCAACTTGGGGATGGCACCTGTTCTATATCCCCAAAACTAGAGCTGATAGCTGGTCAAATATACCCGGAAACAGGTCTTAACATGTGTGATGGCCAGCGTGATCCGACTTGGCTTAGAACAGCCATGTTTATTCTTTATCTCCTCATCAGAACCAAATGGCTATAATTCTGCGCTATCGCCTTTGAAATAATCCAGGCCATGGAAGTCTGCCCTGCCCTGAGCAGATGGGCCACCTTCTTCTCTCCTTTATGCCAGACCTTTTCTGCTTTGAGGCTCGTAATTGGGTTTTATGGGTGGAAAAGCATGCGCCATAACCCCGCCTGCACCTCCGTCTTGGGCTTATTAAGTGCCTCACGGCTCCATCTGCTTTGTCTCCAAAGTAACACAGTCCAGGATTTGGAGCTAAAGGAAAACGCCAGCTCATTGTTATGCCCCCAAGCGCAGGACCCCAAGAAACAAGAGGCCCCATCAAAGGTCCGAGGTGAAGTTGGTGAAGCTGGCAATAGCCACAGTCCTTTCCCATACTTTTTTTTTTGTTCGGGAGCAACTTGAGAAACTTCAAGTTGCTTCTGGTATGAGAGAATTGGCCGTCTGCAAGGATGTTGAACAGGGGATGACGGGATTTTTGACCATCCTGTGGAAGGCTTCTCTCATGTCCCCGCAGTTGACAGACAGGAGCTCACCCTGTTCCCTGAATTCGAACCACTGACCTTTCAGTCAGCAGTCCTGCCGACACAAAGTTTTAACCCATTGTGCCACCGGGGGGGTCCTTTTATTATAGGTTTTCCTCTGACATTAAGTCCAGTCGAGTCCAACTCTGGGTCTTGGTGCTCATCTCCATTTCTAAGCCAAAAAGCCGGCGTTGTCCATAGACACCTCCAAAGTCATGTGGCCAGCATGACACTTTTTAATACACTCTTTTATTCCCATTTCATCCAGGGTTTTAACATTTTAGCTCATGCATTTAGCCCACCCTTTGTGTTTGATTTGTTACATTATCTTGCAGTGTTTATTTTATTCTGTTATTTTATGTATTCTGTTGTTTTGTTTTGTTTCTATTTTGCTGTATTATTTTCAGGATTGGCCTCATGTTAGCTGCCCCGAGTCCCCTTTGGGGAGATGGTGGGGAGGTATAAATAAAGATTATTATTATTACTATTATTATTATTATTATTATTATTATCATTATCTTGTTGTTATTATTATTATTATTATTATTATTATTATTATTATTATTATTATTATGACTGCATGGAGCACCGTTACCTTCCCGCCAGAGCAGTAACTACTGATCTACTCACACTTGAATGTTTTCAAACCTACTAGGTTGGCAGAAGCTGGGGCTGACAGCGGGAGCTCATCCCGCACCCCAGATTCAAACTGCCAACCTTTTAGTCAGCAAGTTCAATAGCTCAGTGCTTTAACCTACTGCACAATGGCAAAATCAAGGTTTGCTCTGTAGAATTTTAAAAATATATTTGGAAGCCACAAAAGGTTGAATCTGAGGATATAGAGGGCTCACTGTTACAGTGTTCCCTCGCTACTTCACGGTTTGCTTTTCGCGGACTCGTTGTTTTTTGCAAGTTTTTGCCTCCTGACAACATTAAACCCAGTCGTGTCCGACTCTGAGGGTTGGTGCTCATCTCTATTTCGAAGTCGAAGAGGTGTCTATAGACACCTCCAAGGTCATGTGGCCGGCATGACTGCATGGAGCGCCCTTACCTTCCCACCAGAGCAGTACCTATTGATCTACTCACACTTGAATGTTTTTGAACTGCTAGGTTGGAAGAAGCTGGGGCTGACAGCGGAAGCTAATGCCGCTCCCCGGATTCAAACCTGCGACCTTTCGGTTGAGAATCTCAGCAGCTCAGTGGTTTAACCCACTGTGCCTTTTATTATTAACTAGCTTGGGGACCCGGTGCTGCCCGGGTAATTTGAGAAAGGCATTGTGCGCCAAGGTTGGTCTTTCTCAGTTATTTATGTAGCTTGCAGTGCTCTCAGGAAGTTAGTGAAGGTATTGCGAATCCCATCGTCCATGGTCCTCCAAACTGCATCAGGATGGAGAGTGGGTCATTGGAGAAAGGTATTGTGCGCTAAGGTTGGTCTTTATCAGTTATTTATGTGGCTCACTGTGCTCTCAGGAAGTTTGTGAAGGTACTGCATGTCCTTGGTCCATCCTCCTCCAAACTGCACCAGGTTGTAGAGTTGGTCATGGGGGCTCTGTGTGAGAAGCTTGGTCTTGATTAGTCATTGGATGAGGCTCGCAGTGGTCTTGGGAAATGAGTGAAGGTACTTCAGGTCCCATCACCCATGGTCCATCCTTCTCCGCAATAGGATGTAGAGTGGGTCATGGGGGCTCTGTGTGCCAAGTTTGGTCTTTATCGGTCTTTGTTGGGGGCCGCAGTAGTCTGTGGGAACAAAGGGTGGGAAAGTACTACAAATCCCATCATCCATTGTCCGTCCTCCCCCAACCCTCACCAGGACGTAAAGAGATTCATGGGGGTTATGTGTGCCAAGTTTGGTCTTGATCAGTCATTGGATGAGTGTCACAGCGGTCTCGGGAAGTGAGTGGATGTACTGCAAGTCCCATCATCCATGGCCCACACTCCTCCAAACAGCAGTAGGATGTAGAGTGGGTCATGGGGGCTCTGTGTGCCAAGTTTGGTCTTTATTGGTCTTTGTTGGGGGACGCGGTAGCCTGTGGGAACAAAAGGGGTGGGAAAGTACTACAAATCCCATCATCCATTGTCCGTCCTCCCCCAACCCTCACCAGGACGTAAAGAGATTCATGGGGGTTATGTGTGCCAAGTTTGGTCTTGATCAGTCATTGGATGAGTGTCACGGCGGTCTCGGAAAGTGAGTGGAGGTACTTCAAGTCCCATCATCCATGGTCCATCCTTCTTGAAACTGCACCAGGATGTAGAGTGGGTCATGGGGGCTCTGTGTGCCAAGTTTGGTCTTGATCAGTCATTGGATGAGGGTCGCAGCGGTCTTGGGAAGTGAGTGGAGGTACTTCAAGTCCCATCATCCATGGTCAGCCCTCCTCCAAAATGCAGTAGGATGTAGAGTGGGTCTTGCGGGCTTTGTGTGCCAAGTTTGGTCTGTATTGGTAATTGTCTGACTCAGCCCCTGGCCTTTTCCTTTCCTCTCTTTGTCATCTCGGAATCTTGGAATTGAGGCTGGCCAATCAGAGACCATATGCAAATTTCCTTCTCATGTCCCCGTTTCTGTCATGAACTCTTTTCTCCACCAGGGGCTCCTATTGAAGCTGGCCAATCAGAGACCATATGCAAATAGCACCACAGCGGCAGCCAATCAGAATCTTGGAACTTTCAGGCTGGCGAATCAGAATGCTGGCACATACTCCTCCACACCGCCACACGTCCGCCGCATACAAACTTTGACTTTTATTATATGTGTAGATATATAGATATATAGATATATAGATAGATAGATTATGGCAACAAGAATGATTGACAACTGGAAAATAGAGGGAGAAACCGTGGAGGCCGTGACAGACTTTGTATTTCGAGGTGCAAAGATTACTGCAGATGCAGACTGTGGCCAGGAAATCAGAAGACGCTTACTTCTTGGGAGGAGAGCAATGTCCAGTCTCGATAAAATAGTGAAGAGTAGAGACATCAGACTGGCAACAAAGATCCGCCTAGTTAAAGCAATGGTATTCCCTGTAGTCACCTACAGATGTGAGAGCTGGACCATAGGGAAGGCTGAGCAAAGGAAGATAGATGCTTTTGAACTGTGGTGTTGGAGGAAAGTTCTGAGAGTGCCTTGGACTGCGAGAATATCCAACCAGTCCATACTTCAGGAAATAAAGCCCGACTGCTCATTGGAGGGAAGGATACTAGAGACAAAGTTGAAGTACTTTGGCCACATCATGAGAAGACAGGAAAGCCTAGAGAAGACAATGATGCTGGGGAAAATGGAAGGAAAAAGGAAGAGGGGCCGACCAAGGGCAAGATGGATGGATGGCATCCTTGAAGTGACTGACTGACCTTGAAGGGAGCTGGGGGTGGTATCGGCTGACAGGGAGCTCTGGCGTGGGCTGGTCCATGAGGTCACGAAGAGTCGGAGACGACTGAACGAATGAACAACAGAAACAGATGGAGATGGAGATAGAGATAGAGATAGAGATAGAGATAGAGATAGAGATAGAGATGATAGAGATAGAGATAGAGATAGAGATAGAGATAGAGATAGAGATAGAGATAGATAGAGATAGAGATAGAGATAGAGATAGATAGAGAGAGAGATAGATAGATAGATAGATAGATAGATAGATAGATAGAGATATTCAAATAATATTTATAAGAACAGTCATGCTTCCACGATTCGGCAGAGTTTGAGCCACCATTCAACCATGGAAACCCAATGGGTGATATTTGGCAAATAACATCCAAAGATGCGCAAATACATACAAATGTCTTGCAGAGTTTATTCTGAGCAAAAATCCCCCAAATGATGAGAAAAATGAAAAATGGAGTGAAACCAAGGCGGCAAATTTGTCGCTTGTTCCGAGAGACAGAAAGATGGATTATTCTGTCAGTATTTGCTGTTACATTATTGACATATAATAATTTTAACACACAACTTGGATTACGGCTCAGATAATACATGTTCCGCCTGCTTTTTTTTCAGATACTTGAAACCGGACGAGGATAAAAAATCGAAGCACAAGACAGCAGTGAAGAAGAAAACGCTGAATCCCGAATTTAATGAGGTACCGTTTGCTTGGATTTCAGCAAAGGTTTGAAATATGGCAGTAAAAAAAGATCTTAGACGAGGAGGAACGATGCCAACCGGTTGGCATTTCGACCGATCCAGCCCTAAAAGCACCTCTGACAGTTTTTAACCTTTGTCAGAGAGCGACGAGCCAATAAATCTGAGATTAGATCATTGCCTTCCCTGCGACTGTTTGGGGTGATTTTTTCAGGCCTCTCCTAATGACTCACAAACCCTGTACCTCGGTTAATAAAGTAAATGCGCTCGTAGGCATTGCTTTTAAAAGAAAATTGGTAATTTTAAAAATGTAAAGTAGCAACCGCAGCCGTTTTAGCAGATCAGGACCTCCTTGAGCAGTGGAGTGAATCAGCTTCAGCAAAGACGAGGGTTGAATGAAAAGTAATGCCTCCACCTTCGTAACTCCTCAAGAGGTGGCAGTACTGGTATGCGGCAGGTACTGGCTTGTTCAGCAGACTCTCCTCTACAGTTCCATTTTGGCAGGAAGCTTTCATAGAATCATAGAATCAAAGAGTTGGAAGAGACCTTATTTATTTATTTACTTTGCTTCTATACCGCTGTTCTCAGCCCGGGGGCGACTCACAGCGGTGTACAACATAGGAAAAAACAAATACAAGACACAGTATAAAAACAATTCACAATCCATCAATATACCAAAACATCGTCATTACTACGAAACCATTCAGCGTCGTCTCATCGTCCAAATCACAATCCAGTATCATTTCCCGTTGTTCCATTCCTATAGTCATTACCAATCATTGCACTTCTTGTTTGAACGCCTTCTTGAACAACCAAGTCTTTAATTTCCTGCGGAATATCATCAGGGAAGGAGCCAGTCTAATGTCCACGGGAAGGGTGTTCCACAGCCGAGGAGCCACCACCGAGAAGGCCCTATCTCTCGTCCCCGCCAGCCGTGCCTGTGAAGCAGGCGGGATCGAGAGCAGGGCCTCCCCGGAAGATCTCAAAGTCCTGGCGGGCTCGTAGGTCGAGATGCGGTCGGATAGGTATCTTGGGCCGGAACCGTTTAAGGCTTTATAGGCCAACGCCAGCACCTTGAATTGAGCCCGGTAGCAATCGGCAGCCAGTGGAGCTGGTACAGCAGGGGGGTTGTATGCTCCCTGCGTCCCGCTCCTGTTAGTATCATGGCTGCCGCACGTTGGACCAGTTGGAGCTTCCGGGCCGTCTTCAAAGGCAACCCCACGTAGAGAGCGTTGCAGTAGTCTAAACGGGATGTAACCAGAGCGTGGACTACCGTGGTTGGAAGAGACCTCATGGGCCATCCAGTCCAACCCCCTGCCAAGAAGCAGGAATATTGCATTCAAATCACTCCTGACAGATGCCCATCCAGCCTCTGTTTAAAAGCTTCCAAAGAAGGAGCCTCCACCACACTCCGGGGCAGAGAGTTCCACTGCTGAACGGCTCTCACAGTCAGGAAGTTCTTCCTCATGTTCAGATGGAATCTCCTCTCTTGTAGTTTGAAGCCATTGTTCCAGGTCCTAGTCTCCAGGGAAGCAGAAAACAAGCTTGCTCCCTTCTCCCTGTGGTTTCCTCTCACATATTTATACATGGCTATCATATCCCGTGCCTTGGACTGCGAGAAGATCCAACCAGTCCATCCTCCAGGAAATAAAGCCCGACTGCTCACTGGAGGGAAGGATACTAGAGACAAAGTTGAAGTACTTTGGCCACATCATGAGGAGACAGCAAAGCCTAGAGAAGACACTTATGCTGGGGAAAGTGGAAGGCAAAAGGAAGAGGGGCCGACCAAGGGCAAGATGGATGGATGGCATCCTTGAAGTGACTGGACTGACCTTGAAGGAGCTGGGGGTGGTGACGGCCGACAGGGAGCTCTGGCGTGGGCTGGTCCATGAGCTCACGAAGAGTCGGAGACGACTGAACAAATGAACAACAAAATCATATCCCCTCTCAGCCTTCTCTTCTTCAGGCTAAACATGCCCAGCTCCTTAAGCCGCTCCTCATAGGGCTTGTTCTCCAGACCCTTTTTTGCTTTTCATTCAACCCTTGTAGGCAAGAAAAGAGAAAGGCAGTCCCAGAATGCAATGGGGGAAGAAGGGTTTTTCCTGCTAGCCAACTCATTTGCCTATCTCTTTCCTCACTGAGAACTGTAACCTTGTGCAGGATGTGGTTGAGTTCCAACACATGGAAAGAGTTGTTTCTTTCTCTTCTGTGCAGGAGTTCTGCTATGATATCAAGCACGCCGACTTGACCAAGAAAACACTCGAGGTCACGGTATGGGATTACGACATTGGGAAGTCCAACGACTTTATCGGTAAGTCTGAGGCCTTGATAGTTTAGCTTGGCTCAAGCCATCCTGGGGAGTGGATTTCCTTCCCATTCAGTGTGTCTTCCAAACACATTGGATTCTATGACGGGTTGGGTGGCCATCTCTCAAGAGGGCTAAGATTGAGTCTTCCTGCCCGGAAGAAGAGGGTTGGAATGGATATCCTTTGGGGTCTCTAGGATTCTATGACAGGTTAAATGCCCATCTGTTGGGAGGACTCAGATTGTGTCTCTCTGCCTGGAAGGAGTGGGTTGGACTGGATATCCTTTGGGGTCTTTTCTCACTCTATGATTCTATGACAGGCTGGATGCCCATCTGTTGGGAGGGTTCGGATTGTGTCTCTCTGCCTGGAAGGAGTGGGTTGGACTGAATGGACTGGAATGAGCTTCGTGTGTTCCAAGTAAACTGGAATGTACTTAGTCCTAATATTTTTTTTATACTGGTTTTAAACCACTTCATTGGATGTTGTTGCAATAGCGGATCCCCAGATTAGTTTAGTATTTACAAATTATTTTATTTTTCTGGTGATTTCATATTTAACATTTATTTCACTTAAGTGATATTTGTCTTTAGTTTTAATGTAGCACCATACTACGTATTTTTGACATTAATCTTGAAATAGATACAGAAAGTCTTTACTTTCCAAAGCGAGTGTGGTGGTGAGAGTTCCTTCCTTGGAGGCTTTTAACTAGAGACAGGATGGCCATCTGTTGGAGGTGCTTTGATTGTGCTTTTCCTGAATGGCAGAGGCAGAGGTGGCCCTAGGTAATTTTCAAGAAGGCTCGGATTGTGGTCTCTTCCAACACTAGGATTCTATGACAGGCTGGATGGCCATCTGTCAGGAGGGCTCAGATTGTGTCTTCCTGACTGGAAGGAATGGATTGGACTGGATGACCTTTGGGGTCTCTTCCAACTCTAGGATTCTATGACAGACTGGGTGGCCACCTCCCAAGAGGGCCATCCAGTCCAGCGAACAAGAGCGCTGGACTGGATGGCCTTTGGGGTCTCTTTCAACTCTAGGATTCTATGACAGGCTGGATGGCCATCTGTCGGGAGGGCTCGTATTGTGTGTCTCTGCCTGGAAGGAATGGGTTGGACTGGATGACCTTTGGGGTCTCTTCCAACTCTAGGATTCTATGACAGGCTGGATGGCCATCTGTCAGGAGGGCTCAGATTGTGTCTTCCTGACTGGAAGGAATGGGTTGGACTGGATGACCTTTGGGGTCTCTTCCAACTCTAGGATTCTATGACAGACTGGGTGGCCACCTCCCAAGAGGGCCATCCAGTCCAGCGAACAAGAGCGCTGGACTGGATGGCCTTTGGGGTCTCTTCCCACTCTAGGATTCTTTGACAGGCTGGATGACCATCTGTCGGGAGGGCTCGGTTTATGTCTCTCTGCCTGGAAGGAATGGGTTGGACTGGTTAGCGTTTGGGGTCTCTTCCAACTCTAGGATTCTATGACAGACTGGGTGGCCACCTCCCAAGAGGGCCATCCAGTCCAGCGAACAAGAGCGCTGGACTGGATGCCTTTGGGGTCTCTTCCCACTCTAGGATTCTATGACAGACTGGGTGGCCACCTCCCAAGAGGGCCATCCAGTCCAGCGAACAAGAGCGCTGGACTGGATGGCCTTTGGGGTCTCTTCCCACTCTAGGATTCTATGACAGGCTGGATGGCCATCTGTCGGGAGGGCTCATATTGTGTGTCTCTGCCTGGAAGGAATGGGTTGGACTGGTTAGCCTTTGGGGTCTCTTCCTACTCTAGGATTCTATGACAGACTGGGTGGCCACCTCCCAAGAGGGCCATCCAGTCCAGCGAACATAGAATCCACTCTAGGATTCTATGACAGGCTGGCTGGCCATCTGTCGGGAGGGCTCGTATTGTGTGTCTCTGCCTGGAAGGAATGGGTTGGACTGGTTAGCCTTTGGGGTCTCTTCCTACTCTAGGATTCTATGACAGACTGGGTGGCCACCTCCCAAGAGGGCCATCCAGTCCAGCGAACAAGAGCGCTGGACTGGATGGCCTTTGGGGTCTTCTTCCCACTCTAGGATTCTTTGACAGGCTGGATGACCATCTGTTGGGAGGGCTCGGTTTGTGTCTCTCTCAACGGTAAGCAGACAGTATTTTGCCCCCCCCCCCAACCAATCACTGATATATATTTTCTGTTCGTCATGGGAGTTCTGTGTGCCATATTTGGTTCAATTCCATCATTGGTGGAGTTCAGGATGCTCTTTGATTGTAGGTAAACTATACATCCCAGTAACTATAACTCAAATATGTCAAGGTCTATTTTCCCCCAAGATCGCCTCAAGAGCACCCCTGGCAAAATCAACTGTACTGCGAATGCTTACTTTGCGTAATGGTTGAGCCGCCCCTGGGCAGAAGGTTGGACGTAGTTTTCTTCCAACTCTTGGATTCTATGATTTACTTGCCTGTTCCACACTGGGCATACGTACTCAGCAGCAGAGTAGCATAGCGCAAGGGCAAATGTCTTCACTGTATCTGGTTGTGATCCCCAGGTTGTGCCAGTCAGCTTTCGTATGATATTGTTTCTAGCACCCACTTTTTGTTTGATGTTCAGGCAGTGCTTCTTGTAGGTAAGAGCACGGTCCAGAGTGACTTCTCTCTTTCACCCTCCATTCGTGCCTCTTCAAATTCTACAGCACTGCTGGTCACAGCTGACCTCCATCTGGAGTGCTCAAGGGCCAGGGCTTCCCAGTTCTCAGTGTCTATGCCAGAGTTTTTAAGGTTGGCTTTGAGCCCATCTTTAAATCTCTTTTCCAGTCCACCAACGTTCCGTTTTCCGTTCTTAAGTTCGGAGTAGAGCAACTGCTTTGAGAGATGGTGGTCGGGCATCCGGACAACGTGGCCGACCCAGTGGAGTTGATGGCAGAGGACCATCGCTTCAATGCTGGTGGTCTTTGCTTCTTCCAGCACGCTGACGTTTGTCCGCTTGTCTTCCCAGGAGATTTGCAGGATTTTCCGGAGGCAGCGCTGATGGAAACGTTCCAGGAGCTGCATGTGACGTCTGTAGACAGTCCACGTCTCACAGGCATATAGCAGGGTTGGGAGGACAATAGCTTTATAAACAAGCACCTTGGTATCCCTACGGATACCATGACCAACAACAAATTCTGGAAGAGTGTGGTGGGTATTGACCTTGGGTTTTGGAGTTATAGTTTACTCCAGATGCATCAGTGCTCTCTGGGATGTAGGTAAACTATAACTCCAAAACCCAAGGTCAATACCCACCACACTCTTCCAGAATTTGTTGTTGGTCATGGGAGCTCTGTGTCCCAAGTTTGGTTCAATTGCCTCATTGGTGGAGTTCAGAATGCTCTTTGATATTGTAGGTGAACTATAAATCCCAGCAACTACAACTCCCAAATGACAAAATCAATCCTCCCCTCAACCCCACCAGTATTCAAATTTGGGCGTATCGAGTATTTGTGCCAAATGAATGAAAATACATCCTGCATATTGGATATTTACAAGATGATTCAGGGGTCACGGCATTGGGAAGGTTGAGAACCACTGGTGTAGATGTTGAACATGGATGGAGCAAGCACGCTCCCCTGACGCAGGCTGTTCTTCTCTTTCCGCCATCTGCTTCTCTGGCCCTGGAACTCAACAAAAAAGCTCCTGTTTTGTAGCAGGTTTCCAAGTTTGCAAAAATTGTGTGTTTTTTTTTATCTGTTTGTTTGTTTTGTTCTGTTAGAAATGTAATACAATGTTCTGGTTGCGGATGACACGATACATAAATAAATACTTGCCTGTGTCCTTCTTCTCTTTCTTCCTTGTGGTCCATCATGCAGGGGGTGTCGTGCTCGGGATCAACGCCAAAGGAGAGCGGCTCAAGCACTGGTTTGACTGCCTAAAGAACAAGGATAAGAAGATCGAGCGCTGGCACACTCTCACCAATGAGCTGCCGGGAGCCATCCTCAGCGACTGACCTGGGGAGCAACACGGCACATCGATCTCAACCACGGAGCAGCAGCCTTTGCCTCTGCTGCGCAAGACAAGAGAGTTCCTGAGCCTCAGGAGCGGAGGGGAGATGGATTGGGAGCCCCCCAAGAGGCACCCCATTGGCAGGGAACGCCCGGAACCCCAGACAAGGCTGTCTTCCCTGTTGCTTGGCCAGTGTCCGCCCTCGAGATGTCTTTCCGGGATACTTTGAACCCGATCTTTTGCAGCAAGTTTTCCTGTGTGTGTGCGTGCGCGTGTGTGTATACGTGTGATGAGAGTGTCTCCAGGCCTGCATGCATTCAGGCAACCATGTTTTGATCTCCATGCAGTGGCAACCCAATGCACAATATACATATATATATTCACACACATACATATATATATATGGCATTTTCCTCCCGTTATGTTTTCTAATTTGTACCGAAGGCAAAGCATTGATCCGATCTCAGAGATAAGAGGGCCTTCCATTTGCATTTATTTGCGGCGTCTGTCGTTGTGGGTGAGTGGTTTGGCTTCCTCCCTCCTCTCCCACCTCCAAATTTCAGTTCTGATTTCCTCTGTTCCCCCAAACAACGTGTACAAAGTTGTTGTAGGTTTTTGGGCTAAATGGCCATATTCTAGAAGCATTCTCTAAGGCATTCTCTCCTGACGTTTCACCTCACAACCTCTGAGGATGCTTGCCATAGATGCAGGCGAAATGTCAGGAGAGAATGCTTCTAGAACATGGGCATATATCCCAAAAAACCTACAACCCAGTGATTCCAGCCAGTGATAAATTTATTTATTTATCGTGTCAGGCAACCAAACAGTTGTATTACATTTTTGACAGAGCAAACAAACATAGAAAAGACACAGAGTTTGCAAGCTTGGTAGTTGATTAAATGTCCTTTGACCAGTATCTGGCCACTTGGAGTGCCTCTGGTGTTGCCGCAAGAAGGTCCTCCATTGTGCATGTGGCAGGGCTCAGGGTGCATTGCAGCAGGTGGTCAGTGGTTTGCTCTTCTCCACACTCGCATGTCGTGGATTCCACTTTGTGGCCCCATTTCTGAAGGTTGGCTCTGCATCTCATGGTCTGTTCAGCGCCTTCCAAGTCGCCCAGTCTTCTGTGTGCCCAGGGGGGAGTCTCTCATTGGGTATCAGCCATTGATTGAGGCTCTGGGTTTGAGCCTGCCACTTTTGGACTCTCGCTTGCTGAGGTGTTCCAGCAAGTGTCTCTGTAGATCTTAGAAAACTATTTCTTGATTTAAGTCGTTGACGTGCTGGCTGATACCCAAACAGGGGATGAGCTGGAGATGTCTCTGCCTTGGTCCTTTCACTATTGGCTGCTACTTCCCATCAGATGTCAGGTGGTGCAATACTGGCTAAGCAGTATAATTTCTCCAGTGGTGTAGGGCGCAGACACCCCGTGATAATGTGGCATGTCTCATTAAGAGCCACATCCACTGTTTTAGTGTGGTGAGATGTGTTCCACACTGGCATGCATACTCAGCAGCAGAGTAGCATAGCGCAAGGGCAGATGTCTTCACTTTATCTGGTTGTGATCCCCAGGTTGTGCCAGTCAGCTTTCGTATGATATTGTTTCTAGCACCCACTTTTTGCTTGATGTTCAGGCAGTGCTTCTTGTAGGTCAGAGAACGGTCCAGAGTGATTCCCAGTTATTTGGGTGCGCTGCAATGCTCCAGTGGGATTCCTTCCCAGGTAATCCTCAGAGCTCGGGATGCTTGTCTGTTCTTAAGATGAAAAGCACATGTCTGTGTTTTAGATGGGTTAGGAATCAGCTGGTTTTCCCTGTAATAGGCAGTAAGAGCACCTAGAGCTTCGGAGAGCTTCTGTTCAACCATCTCAAAGCTCCCTGCTTGAGCAGTAATGGCACGATCATCAGCATAGATGAAACTCTCTGTCCCTTCTGGCAGTGGCTGGTCATTTGTGTAGATGTTGAACATGGATGGAGCAAGCACGCTCCCCTGAGGCAGGCCGTTCTTCTGTTTCCGGCATCTGCTTCTCTGGCCCTGGAACTCAACAAAAAAGCTCCTGTTTTGTAGCAGGTTTCCTATGAGGCGGGTGAGGTGGTCGTCCTTTGTGATATTATACATTTTTCTCAGGAGGAGGCGGTGGTTTACGGTATCAGAAGCTGCTGACAGGTCTATGAAGACAGCTCCTGTGATCTGCTGCCTTTCAAAGCCATCTTCTATGTGCTGAGTCAGCACATAGAAGATTCCAGCCATGAAAGCCTTCGACAATACAATGTGTACAAAACCAGAACACAACAAAGGGCTGTGTCACTTTCACCCAAAAAACCCAGCTTGCTTCCTTCCTTCCTTCCTCCTTCTTTCATAGCATACTAGAGTTGGAAGAGACCTCATGGGCGATCCATTCCAACCCCATTTTGCCAAGAAGCAGGAAATTTGCATTCAAAGCATCCCCAGCAGATGGCCATCCAGCCTCTGTTTAGAAGCCTCAAAAGAACTAGCTTCCACCACACTCTGGGGCAGAGAGTTCCACTGCTGAACAGCTCTCACAGAATAGAATCATGGAGTTGGAAGAGACCTCATGGGCCATCCAGTCCAACCCCCTTCCACGATGGTCCTCCATTGTGCATGTGGCAGAGATCAGGTTGCTTTGTAGTACGTGTTCTGCAGTTTGCTCTTCTTCGCATGTTGTGGACTCCACTTTGTAGCCCCATTTCTTAAGATTGGCTCTGCATCTCGTGGGGCCAGAGCACAGTCTGTTCAGCGCCTTCCAGGTCATCCAGTCTTCTGCATGCCCAGGGGGGAGCTTCTCATCTGGTCTCAGCCACTGATTAAAGTGCTGGGTTTTAGCCTGCCACTTTTGGTCTCTCGCTTGCTGAGGTGTTCCTAGAATCATAGAGTTGGAAGAGACCTCATGGGAAGAGACCTCAGGTGCTTTACGCGAGAGTAGGCCACACTGTGCTGCTCCTCCCTTGCGTGAGCCAGCCAAGGGCAGCTGCTCCGTGTGGCCTACTCTCGTGTAAAGCACCTCACGAGGTACTTTACGTGAGAGTAGGCCGGGCGGTGCTGCTCCTCCCGATGGGCAGCGTGAGCCAGCCAAGGGCAGCTGCTCCGCGCGGCCTACTCTCGTGTAAAGCACCTCGCGAGGTACTTTACGTGAGAGTAGGCCGGGCGGTGCTGCTCCTCCCTTGGCAGGCTCACGCTGCCCATCAGGCCCAATGGGCAGCGTGAACCAGCCAAGGGAGGCTGCCCCGGCGCTCCATGCAATCATGCCGGCCACATGACCTTGGAGGTGTCTATGGACAACGCCTGGCTCTTCAACTTAGAAATGCAGATGAGCACCACACCCCAGAGTCAGACACGACTGGACTTCATGTCAGAGGAAAACCTTTAAGTAGAAAAATTGTGGAAGATCCAGGGTGGGAGAAAGAACTCTTGTCTGTTGGAGGTAGGTACGAATGTTTCAATTGGCCACCTTGATTACCATTTCATAGCCTGACAGCTTTTAGGGAGAATCCTTTGTTGAGCGGTGATTAGCTGGCCCTGATTGTTTCTTGTCTGGAGTTCCCCTGTGTTTGAGTGTTGTTCTTTATTTACAGTTATAATTTTAGGGTTTTTTAATACTGGTAGCTAGATTTTGGTCAGACTAGAACTAGGAAGATTTCCCATTCTCTGCTCCTGGAATTACTGCCTAAAGAGGGCTAGAAAGAACCCCCTCTAAGGGCCCTTCCACACCGCAAAGTAAGATATGTGTGATGTCCATAGGAATTTTTTAATTGATTTTTTTTTAAAAAAAACTATAGTCCGGCCCTCCAACGGTCTGAGGGACACTGAACTGTCCCCCGGTTTTAAAAGTTTGAGAACCCCTGATGTAAGTCATGAATGAAGATGCTGAGCAGAACCGGACCCAGGAGGGAACTCCACTTGTCTCTTCTTTCCAGGATGAAGAGGAAGCCTTGAGGAGAATCACCCTCTGGGCTCGTCCACTTAACCAATTCCAGATCCACCTAACCGTAGTTTTGCCGAGCCCACATTGTTTGCCAGAAGGTCATGGGGGACCTTGTCGAAGGCCTACCTGAAGTCCAGATCTGCTCCATCTACGGCATTCCCCGCATCTACCCATGAATTCACGACTGAACGAATGAACAACGACGACAACAAACCCAGCTTGTAACTCTATTGAAAAAAGAGATCAGATTAGCCTGGCCTGACTTGTTTTTGGATCAATCTCCACCTCAGTTCAGCCGATTTAGGAGAACGATCCAAGGTCGGGCCCTTCCCTTGCTCAGTGATGGCCTACGAGACCTCCCTTTCGACTCTGCACAGCTCCTACTTTCAAGAAACGGCTGGCCTTCTTTGTCGGGGGAATTGTACAGCTTCAAACACTACACGCTTCTCTGACACACACAAAGAGCAATTCGCTACCGTCTTTTCCAAGGCAGATGTCTTTGAGCAAGGCTTTGTGTAACGCAGTCCCCGAGGGCTGACATCAGTGTCCCCCTCACAAGGAGACTCACCCTTGACAGCATTCAAAAGCTCACATCCTGAGCAATGCAGAGTATGAGCAAGAGAAGGCCAAATTATGGAGCTTATATCGTCTGAACAGACCGTAGTACAATTCAGACTGTTGCTGTGAGATTTCCAGGCTGTCTGGCCATGTTCCAGAAGCATTCTCTCCTGGCAACCACGATAAAGGGTCTGGAGAGCAAGCCCTATGAGGAGCGGCTTAAAGAGCTGGGCATGTTTAGCCTGAAGAAGAGATGCTGAGAGGAGACATGATAGCCATGTATAAGTATCTGAGCGGAAGTCATAAGGGGAAGGGAACAAGCATGTTTTCTTCTGCCCTGGAGACTAGGACCTGGAACAATGGCTTCAAACTACAAGAAATGAGATTCCATCTGAACATGAGGAAGAACATGTTTGGCAGTGGAACTCTCTGCCCCAGTGTGGTGGAGGCTCCTTCTATGGACTTGGGTGATGGTTGGAATTTGGGGACTGGTGCTTTCTCCATTTTTAAGCTGAAGAGTTGTCCGTAGGCACCTCCAAGGTCATGTGGCCAGCATGACTGCATGAAGCGGCATTAACTTCTCACTATTCATCTACTCACACTTGTGTGTTTTCGAACTGTGAGGTTGGCAGGAGCTGGGGCTAACAGCGGGAGCTCACCCTACTCCCCGGATTTGAACCGCCAACCTTTTGGTTAGCAAGTTCGGCAGCTCAGCGGTTTAACCCGCTGCGCCACCGGGGGGGGGGCACTCTAATGAATGTAGGTCTCTGTTATAACTGTAACCTAAGATCATAGAATCAAAGAATCAAAGAGTTGGAAGAGACCTCATGGGCCATCCAGTCTAAACCCCTGGGTTTTAGCCTGCCACTTTTGGTCTCTCGCTTGCTGAGGTGTTTCTAAAATCATAGAGTTGGAAGAGACCTCATGGGCCATCCAGTCCAACCCCATTCTGCCAAGAAGCAGGAATATTGCATTCAAATCACCCCTGACAGATAGCCATCCAGCTTCTGTTTAAAAGCTTCCAAAGAAGGAGCCTCCACCACACTCCGGGGCAGAGAGTTCCACTGCTGAACGGCTCTCACAGTCAGGAAGTTCTTCCTCATGTTCAGATGGAATC